TCTGGGAGGCCGAGGCGGGCGGATTGCTCAAGGTCAGGAGTTCAAAACCAGCCTGAGCAAGAGCGAGACCCCGTCTCTACTATAAATAGAAAGAAACTAATTGGCCAACTGATATATATATATAAAAATTAGCCAGGCATGGTGGCGCATGCTTGTAGTCCCAGCTACTCGGGAGGCTGAGACAGAAGGATCGCTCGAGCCCAGGAGTTTGAGGTTGCTGTGAGCTAGGCTGATGCGACGGCACTCACTCTAGCCTGGGCAACAAAGCAAGACTCTGTCTCAAAAAAAAAAAAAAAAAAAAACACAATGAGATTCCACTTCACAGCCATTAGGATGATGATAATCAAAAAGACACATGATTTAACAAAGGTTGACAAGGATATAGGAAAACCAAAACCCTTGTATATTGCTGGTGGGAACTGTAAAATGGGGCAGGTGCCGTGGAAAAGTTTGGTGGTTCTTCAAAAAGTTACACAGAATTAACACAGAACCTGGCTCTTTTACTCCTAGGCATATACCAAAAGAACTGACAATAGGTACTCAAACAAATACCTGTATACAACTGTTCAAAGCAGCACTATTCACAATAGCAAAAAAGGAAGAAATAACTCAATTACCCATCAGTGGATGACTGAATAAACAAAATGTGGTTTATACATGTAATGGAATATTACTCAGCCATTAAATGAAGTCCTGGTACTATGCTACAATGTGAATCAACCATGTTATGCTAAGTGAAAGAAGCCTGACATAAATCATCATGTATTGTATGATTCTACTTCTATGAAATCCAGAACATTTAAAATTATAGACAAAGAAAGTAGATTGGTGGTTGCTATGGGCTGAGGGACTGGAAGAATGGGGCGTGACTGCCTAATGGGTACAGAGTTTTCTTTTGTAATGAAAATGTTTTAGACCTAGATAGAGGTGGTGGTTTCACATTATGAATGTACTAAATGCCACTGAATTGTATACTTTTAAATGATTAATTTTATGTTATGTAAATTTCACCTCAATATTTTTAATTAAAAAAAAAGCAGCTCATGATCTATACTAAGAAACTACAGAAAAAAAGAAAGGGAGTAAGTTTATCTAAGAACACTCACAAGAAAACAATGCATCACAAGGAATAAAACTATAATCAGTAAATGCTAAAATGCAGATAGCAGTGCTCATGGGAAAAAAAGAGGCATCAAACTATGAAAAGAGTCAGTGGTAGGAAAAGGAAATGGGATAGGGATATAACGGTGCCTTTTTTCAAATAAAAAATTCCAGAATGATTTAAGGCTTTACAACTGAATAAATAAATAAATAACAACTACTGGTAAGGGTATGCAGAAACTGGAACCCTCGTACACTACCAGAGGGAATGTAAAATGTTGGAAAACTGTGGAAAACATGTTGGCAATTTTTCAAAAAGTTAAACATAAGATTATCAGATGACCCAGCCACTGCACTCCTAGGTATATCCCCAAGAGAACTGAAAACACATAAAATTCACACAAAAGCTAGTAAACAAATGTTCACAGCAGCATTATTCATTATACCAAAAAGCAGAAACAACCCAAATGTCCATCAATTGATGAATGGATAAACAAACTGTGGTATATCTATACAATGGAATATTATTCAGCCATGCCACATGCTGGATGAAGCTAAAAAAACATTATGTTGAGCAAAAGAAGCCAGATACAAAAGACCACAGACAGCATGATTCCATTAATACGAAATGACCAATAAGCAAATCTATAGAGAAAGAAAGTAGATTAGTGACTGCCAGGGACTGGGAGAGAGCAAATGGGGAAGTGACTGCTAGTGAGTATGAGGTTTTTGGGGGGAGTAATGAAAACATTCTGGAATTACATAGTGATGATGGTTGCACAATCTTGTGAATATACTAAAAACCACTGAATTGTACACTTTACAATGGTGAATTTTGTTACATGAACAAAATATTTGTTATATTTGAATTTTTTAAATGTAAAATAAAAAACAAGTTGGTTTGCAAATTGGTCATTAAAATCCAAATTGCTTTTCCTTTTACATTTGCCAGATGATAGAGTGCGGAAATCACTGAAATAAAAGGCAAAGTGAAAAGTACATTACTAGCAACACTAAGCCAGAGTCTCAGGTTAATGTCATCTGCATTGGGATGCCTATATCGGATGGTTTGGATTACATACCTGGAGGGCTCCCCTTTCCAATTCTCAACTTAAGAAATAGTGATTAAATTTCCCAAGTTGAGTCACAAAAGTTGTTTTAAGTCTTATCTCCTTCTCCACCTGCAAAGTACACCAGGGTCTAAAAGTATCAACCTTCTCTCTCCCCATTCTCTGTTCTTTTCACACAGACGATCTCAGCTAGAGAAAGAGGAAAGCAATTTATTTAGCTAAATCATAAAAAATGTAAATAACTGACAGCTGTAAACATGATTCCTTCTCCTTAACTCCTCCAAGTCCCTAGCCTCCAAATAAGTATTATTTGGGCAATTTAAGAAATCAAGTTTAAAACATTTAGGGATTGGCACAGGTTGCCTGGGAAGTGATATTTTACAGCAAGAATGCCACTAAATCAACATGGTACTGGATAGTGGTATGCCGTAGATTCAACTTTCCTGAATTATACCTGCTTTTCCCAGTATCGTACATTTTAAAATCCAATGACTGACTAGTGTACTTTACAAATTACAAACTATGAACCATCTGCATCAGAATCACCTATGGTGCCTTGCCCACCTCAGACTTATAAAATCAAAATCTCTGGGGATAGGACCCAGAAAAGTTTATTTCCAAAGTGATTCTTATACACACTCAAGTTCAAGAATCACTGTTCTAAAAAGTTCGACAAGATAGGATGGGCCACCACTTTAGGTATACATAATGTGTAAGATAGAGACTACACTTGTATTATGAAGACCATTACTGAGTTTACTAGTCAGAACTAAGTACAAAACACTTGCATATCTGGAACTTCATTCACTATACACTACTCTATTAAATATAAATGTGAGGTGTTATACAACATCAAAAGAATAAAAACGGCAGACATTCCAAAGTAACTGTGTAGTATTCAAAGTAGATTTTTTTTTCAATGCATTGAGGAAAATATGGGAAAAAGGAAATTGTTTCTAGTCTTTATTTTTTCTGTGCTTGAAAAATAAAGGGCTGAATTTCAGCTATTTAATTATAAGGACATGGACTGGAGATAACTCTCGTTAAATCAAGTCAAAAAACTGATCCCTTGAGAAATTTCAAACAACATGCAAACGTGGCATATAACTGTCACTACTAGGATGGTTTTTATTAGCACATGTTAATGGCTTTCAGAAGGATGGAATCTTTACTTTTCTCCCCTGGCTCTATTTTGCCAACTAACAGGTCTAATGACTGAAATAAACTATTTTGTTTAAGAAAAATCTTTCTTAAACTATTTATGCTGACACACTATAGCCCTGATTCCTGTACTGCTTCATGCTCAAAAAGCACTGAGAATTTCTTTATAACATATATGGAAAGTTTCTGGTCTGCAACTAGGCAACACTTGCAAATTACTACAAAGATGATTTAATGTATATTATCTCCTCTATTTCTATTTACAAAAACAGATCAGTTGTGATGATAAAAGTCCCAGTGTTCTAAAATATTACCTAGTTAGAGTGAGCAATATTTATTCATTCAAAATATTTATGGAGCACCAATTACATGCCCCAGACTGAACAAAATATGCTCAATAAAAATATTGCTCATAATTTATTATATTTGATTCTGAGTCTCCAATCATTACAAATATTGTTACAAATAACAGAATACACTATTGGTACCAATCCTACAGCAGACCAAGGAAATTTGTTTCTAAAATAACTTATTGCTTTAACTATTTAAAAGCCAAAAAAAGTACAGGTGTCTATGGTTTACAAGGTTTGCAGTGTTTGGATATCCACTAATACTTTGAACAGTAAGCTCCTTCTTATAACATTTACACCCTACATTTTTATTTTGTAGCAAGATGTAGCAATGCACCTCATAGAAAATGATAGGGAAACCACCACCTTCTGAAAGAAAAGATACTATTAAGAAATGAAAGCACTTAAAATCGATATGTTAAAGTAATCTCCAAAATGTGCTTCCCTGAACTCTAATATTAATAAAAATCCTATGACTCCTCTTCAGTCACGAAAAGCAGGAGAGAAAATGAAACTTAACAGTTCTGTCACTCATTTATTATCTCGACATTTATGCACATAAAAATTTATGAGGTTATCTATGAGACCCAATATGAGAAGGCCACAGAACCTGATGCCCAATTTAGGTCACGATCACAAAACTGTGGAAGACAAAAACTACAGCCTACGCCGAAAATTAGATATTCCTTCCTAATATCTACAGAACTCCAGGTACACATGGGAATTTATTATTATTATTATTATTTTTAACACTGCTTCGGCGTTCTCGAAACCTGGAGGGGTTATACCGCAGGAAAACACTCTGGCAATGCACAGCAGTGGTCTCTCAGCCTAGACGGCGCGGTTCCAAAACCGACTCTGCAGCCCTTGATCAAGGCAAAGAGGGAAATAAAACACCCCGCCGCGCAGAAGCCAGCCGAGACCCGGCCAGCCAGCCCACCACGAGCCCAGCGCGGCCCCGGTACCCCGCGCGTCCCCCAGGTGCCCTTGGAAGCAGCGGCCCGAGGACCACGCCGCGCCCGGTCCCAGCGGACTCCAGTTCCGCCCGCCGACCGATCCTTCCCACTCCCAGCCCCCGGGGCCCGCCAGGCCTGCCGCGCCGGCTCCGCCCCTCGCCGCTCGGCCGGGCCCCGGATTCTCCGCCTCGGTGCAACGCAGCCCCGGGCGGGCAGGCGCGGCGGAGCCGGGAGAGCCCCGGGGCCCCAGCAGGGTCCTGCTCCCACAGGCCGCCAAGGCTGACCCAGAAGAGGGCACTGCAGCCCACACCAGGCCTGCGTCCCGGGCTCTGGCCTGGGCGAACGCCGCCCTCGTCTCTCACCTGCGTCCCCACCACGACGATCTGAGGCAGCTGGATGATGTCGGCGCCCACGGTGTTGAAGACGTCCTGGAGCTTGTTGATGACAGGAATTAGCGCCTCCATGACTCAGAAAACACGGGACCCCCGCCCGCCCGGCCGCCGCAATGAATGGGGCCGGGGCCCAGAATTCGGCTCCTTCCTCCTCTCCTCCGCCCTCTCCTCGGGAGCCGGCACCCATTGGACCCGACCCGCCCGCTACCTGCCCCCTCCCGGCAGGCCATGCGCCATGAGGGGGGCGGGAAAGAACAAAGCCTGCTGGGAGTTGTAGTTCTGGCATGGGGGACGCGCTTGCCTACGGCTTCCAGAAGGCTGCGCGGCACGGGCGGGCCGGGAGCAAGGATGGAGGGGTGCATGGGGCGGGGATGTTTCCCCGCCTCCTGTCCAAAGGCTAGGATTGAGGCCAGGAGAGTAGGATAGGAGAAATACACTCATGCTTGTCCTCAAAATATGATGGATTTGAAAATGCCGGGTGTAATTATGTGTTAAGTGCAGCGATATTTCTCTTGATTATCCAGTGTCATTTCCTTATGAGGAGCTTTTTAAAAAAGGACAGGTTGGAAAAGCTTAATCAAAGAATAACATGGCCACAGACACCCAGCTGGGTGCAAAAGGTCTGTACCCTGATACTAGAATGTATGGGTTGCTATTTGCAAAACTACATAGCCAGCACAAGTTAGAACACGCAGATTGTCCAGGATTTATGTTTAAAAAAAAAAAGTGTTCAGAAAAAATTGTACAGTGTTGGAGTTTTAGAGGGGAAGGGCTGAGCCCTTATTCTCTACATTCCTTATAAGCCTTTATTTGCTATGGCCTAATTCTGGCAAAAGAGAGATCTGATAACTGTCTTACTTGTTTTTTGCTAAGTATTCTATTTATAAATGTTGTTTTTCTTTTTAGACAAATAATATCTCTTCTCTACTCCAAACCTTCAAAGATTTCCTATCTCAAAGTAAAAATGGTGACATCTGAGCAAAGACCTAGAGCAGATGAGGGGGAAGTCCCCTTCCCGCCTTTATTTTTCTCCATAGCACTTACCTCCTAACACACTAGTATTGAATTTGTGGACTCTCTCTTCTTGCTAGATTATCAGCTCCTAGAGGACAGGGATTTTTTGACTCTTTTAATCACTGAAGTAGGGTCTAAGGAGACCCTAGAAAACAACAAACAAGATGGTCACAATCTCAGTCCCCTCTAGAATTTATAATCTAACACAGAGACAGATGATGTCGCCATTATAAATAAATGGGTAGGTGCTGTGACTGTATTATGGAGTGCATAATAGGAGTACTTTTTTCCAGTCTGAGGGGGAGGGGTAGAAGTTCAAGAAAGACCTCCTAGAAGTTACTAGGTGTAATCTCCATGAGGACAAGGACCACCTACAGTAGTGGAAGTTGTGTACTACACAGCTCCAGTGGGTACCATTCACCTGCACAGCTGTGCACAGCAGCCCTGGAATGACTTGATTTGTTCAGCAGGACAAATATTAGGCACTTAATAAATATTTTTGAACAAATGAATGAAATATGAATGAAATAAGCTAAAACCCAAAGATCCAATGGTGGTATTTTCACATCTTGTCAAGTTTTGTGAACACCCCCTTCTCTTTTGATTATTTTTAAAAACAAAAATTTCAGAGACAAAATTTCAGAGATAAAATAGAAAAGAAAGCCAGATCTCCAAAAAACAAACAGTTCAATTCCAAGTCTCTTATTTTCTACCACAGATAATATTACAGGATGGTGAGATATTACCCACTTGCTTCTCACCCCTCTGTTGATGGAGCTTTGTTCTCTTCTAAATATTAATAGAAAATTAATGAATAGTCTCTGCTCTTTCCAACAAGAAAGGCAGACAAAAAGAGGGATTGGGCTCATGGTGAACCTTCACAGGCATAACCAGTAACTGCTTTAAAGGGTCCAGGTGCCCTGGGGCAACTACAACTGTTTTTTCCTTATTTGTGGCAACAATAGACATGATCTTTTCTTATTTGCTAATGGCAAAATTAGAAGGGCAAGCATATATTTATTCCAGAAAGTGAAATGTTAAGAATTTTGCATGACATATATTTCCATAGAAATTATGTTATCTCTTAGGATGAATCATCCAGAGCCTTGTATTAATGTGCATCTTTTCCTAGCAGAAGGAGAAAGAATCACATGGCCAGTGCTCAAAAGTCTTCCTATCACTACCACCACCTATCAGGTTAAAGCAGGATTGTCCAGTAGCTATCTATAGACTCTTACAGCATTGAGTTAATCGGGCACAGAGGAAAAGAAACAGGAAATGATAAGGCCTTGAAAAAGAGTGGCTCTAATTTGATAACTTTTTTAAAAACATAAGGCAGGATACTCTATGCACAATGTGTTTCACTGGAGAGAAATAAAGCAAACCAATTTGGATTTTCACATTTTAAGTTCAGAACACTTGCTTGTGGGAAAGCCATTTAGCCAATAAGTGTTTCCCCATTAAAACAGGATAATGTGTTCCTTAGCGAATCGCTATGGAATCACAGTAAGCCAGTATCAGGTATTATCTCAAAAGGGGTTTTCAGAAACTCTTCTAGACTAGTGGTGGTGCCTATAGTCCCAGCTACTAGGGAGACTGAAACTGGAGGATCACTTGAGCCCAGGAGTTTGAGACCAGCCCAGGCAACATACCGAGACCCCATTGCTACAAAAAATAAGAGAAAAATTAGCTGGGCATGGTGGTATATGCCTATAGTCCCAGCTACATAGGAGGCTTAGGCAGAAGAATCATTGAGCCCAGGAGTTCATGGCTGCAGTGAAATATGATCACACCACTGCACTCCAGCCTGAGCAACAGAGTGAGACCCCATCTCAGGAAAAAAAAAAAAGAGGCCATTTGCCATATTTGCAATCTCTACACATATTGCCCTGTTTCTTTTTTCATTTCCTCATTTAGTCAACGTATATTTATGAAGTACTTATTAGGGTTTTTGTTTTTTGGGTTTTTTTTTTGAAACAGGGTCTACGTTACCCAGGCTGGTCTCAAACTCCTGGACTCGAGTGATCCTCCCACCTCAGCCTCTCAAGTGGCTGGGATTACAGGTGTGAGACACCACACCCAGCCTTATTAGGTATCTTGATCTTAGCCAGCCACTATATTTTGCTGGAAGCCAAGGGGGAGCTGTAGACATGACAGTAACATACATGCCCTGCCCCCTTTGTCAATAGTGAGCTCACTAAGGACAGAAGTGGTGGTCTTATTTAGCTGGTTTTCCCAGCTACCTACTAGGATGCTTGTTACATAATACCAGTGTACTGGACTTGCATTTCCCTTTCTTTTATTTGGAAAGTCTGGCATAACAAGGATTTAAGCAGCTCTTAATTGATTCAATTGCAACCAGGATTTGCAATCAAAACCAGCCAACACACAAGAAGCTGCCTTGGCATAGCACTCCTCACCAGAGTAGCTGCCAAATTACTTAGCCAGAGAGTAGGCTAGCTTTGTTCTCACTTAAAATCCCTAATGAGAGAAAGTTTATTTTGAATTAAATTAATAACTAGAAATTAATAGTTATCGAAAAGGGTAATTAGACTATTTTTATTTTTTTTTGTGACACTCAGTACAGAAATAGACTATTTTTATAGCATGTGTCCAATACCATCTTATGCCAACGTTTGATCACCAATCACAGCCAAGCTGCCATTATCATTATCTATGCCTTCAAATCATAGCAGTGAGTGCTGATCTAATATTAATATAAAATATATTACTCTGATGGGGAAGCCTCTTTGTCATATTTTGGAAACTGCCCGAGTTTTGCAAAGATAATAAAGTAAACAGATTTAATCAATTTGCTACTCCCTAGGCCTCGAGCCTAACATACTCTGTTAGCAGGTGCAGGAAATTGTCTGCAGATGGTGGAGTCAGCCAGATGGTTCAGAAGCCAGAAATTGAATCTGGAGAGATACTGACAGCCCATTAGAGGGCAGTGTGACAACACAATTAAGAACCGTAAAGGCCAAAAGAACTTAGGAGTTGAGATCCAGCCTCCTTGCTTTCTTCCCTGTGCTCTACATCCACACCGACACCCCAATGTAATGTGGCCCTTCTTTTAATTCTCCCACCATCAAAACATGTGGCAAGCTCTAACTCTTTGAAATGATAGATTGGGGCCGGGTGCGGTGGCTCATGCCTGTAATCCTAGCACTCTGGGAGGCTGAGGAGGGTGGATTGCTCAAGGTCAGGAGTTCGAAACTAGCCTGAGCAAGAGCAAGACCCCCGTCTCTACTAAAAATAGAAATAAATTAATTGGCCAACTAAAAATATATAGAAAAAAAATTAGCTGGGCATGGTGGTGCATGTAGTCCCAGCTATTTAGGAGGCTGAGGCAGAAGGATCGCTTGTGCCCAGGAGTTTGAGGTTGCTGTAAGCTAGGCTGACACCACGGCACTCTAGCCCAGGCAACAGAGTGAGACTCTGTCTCAAAAAAAAAAAAAGGATGTTCAAGAAAGAGACCATAAAATAGTGATCAAAATGGACTTCAACTTCCTGTGTATGGGCTTTACTTTGCTTCTGAAGCTAAAAACTACATTTCCCTAATATTTTTGCAACTATATGTCCCAGATATAATTGTAGTTTTATAAAATAGATACATCCCCTCCAGGCTCAAATTCTAAATTAAATTGTTAAAGGACAGAGGAGTTACACAAGGCATCCATTTTGCTTGTGCAAGATTGTGGGAGGCATAAACACGGTTCTAGAGTTAATGGTTCCCATAATGTTTTCCTGATTCCCAGTGGCTGAGATGAAGAGAGCCCGAGAGCCAGCTGCTGATTCTGGAAAACATATCAGTCACTCCTGGTGCACCAATTTTGTGACATTGTTCTGGGAATAATTCCTGGATGTCTAGCCTAAAGCCTGTTTGCCCAGTCCTTCCACCAGATTTGTAAGCATCTAATTCCCTGTATTTGGTCTCTTTCTGAATCAACTTAATAGAGGAATGTATTTGTTTCCCGGGACTGCCACAACAAAGTGCCACAGCCTGGTTGGTTTAGAACAACAGAAATTTCTTGTCTTCTAGTTCTGGAGGCTAGAAATCTGCAAGCATGGCATCAGCAGGATTGGTTTCTTTTGAGGGCTGTAAGAGAGAATCTGTTCCATGCCTCTCTCCTAGCTTTTGGTGACCCCAAGCATTTCATGGTTGGTGGCAGCATCACTCCAGTCCCTGTATGCATCTTCACGTGT